TGAATCTTCTAACTATGAAAGAGTGAAATTAAACACAGGGAACAAGAAAAGAGAAATGTTATCTCTTGTTACTTATTAACAAAATTCAGTCTTTATATCATTTTATATCATCTAAGGAAATTTCATCTCATATATGACTTGTCACTCTCCTACTTAGATGTTATTATCTGCACATATGTGCACATAAAATTAAGAACTTATGTATGTGTTGTGGTATCCTTTAAAGTGTTATCTCAGCTGTACATTGTGAATGGTAGCTCTTGGTTTGAGAGCATCGTTATGTAATGCAAAGAGTCAGACTGGGCTCAGTCCGGTGGCTTTGCCACCCTGGTCTTAACCCTAGTCTCTGTGAGCTTCGTTTTCCTTATTCGTAAAGTAGGAAGAAGAGTGCTTATCACAGAAGCTTTTGTGATAATCGCATTACATGTAAGATTCCTTAACACAACGCAGAAGCTATATTAAGAGCCTGGTAATGTTAGTTCTGTTCATTTTGCTTCATGTACTGTATTTTATTTGTTTAGTTTTCAAATATATAATTGTGAAAATAGTGCTATTTTCCCCTCAAATCCCTATAATACAGCATGTATGTATTTTTTAAGCAGAGTCCTTCATTGAGAGGCTTCTAAGATATCTTCTCTTCAGAATTATAATCGATACTATGTATTGATTTCTGAACTTTGTTCCAGCAGCTGGAGCAAGACCTATGTATGTCTGCTCCCCTCAGTTACTACTCATTACAATCTTTTGAGGGTTATCCCTCTACCAGTGTCACTTAGGAAGTAAATTGTGGAGCTGAGATGAAAACCCAGGGCTGACACTTAGCCACTACAGTATGTTGTCTCCTTGCAGAAAGCCCAGTTTGGAGTGATTTAAGGTGCTAGAGATAAAGGTGATATATGGGGGTTAGCTATGAATCAGTTTGGATTTTTAGTTAATATTCTGACTCCTTCCTATTTATGTTCATTCCTATCCTAATCTCAACCTCTGTCTCCCTGTCTCTCTCCTTTTCAGGTGACAGAAGGAAAACAGGATCTGGAAAGAGCATCCCAGTTGGCCCGGAAAATGAAGAAAGAAGCTGCTTCTCTCTCGGAGTGGCTTTCTGTTACTGAAACTGAATTGGTACAGAAGTCCACTTCAGAAGGTCTGCTTGGTGACCTGGATACAGAAATTTCCTGGGCTAAAGTAAGTTGCAGTTCAGATGAATCACCAACATGATGCCAGGGTCACCCGTGGCATTGGTTCAGAGCAATCTGGGCGGATTCTGTTTCCCTCCATTTCATATTAAACATAGCCTGTTCTTTTTTTCCGTCATTTTTTCCTCTTTGTCCTCGGAAGAATATTTCTAAAACAACTATTTTGATGACATGTTTTTATCTTGATTCCAAAAGCATTAAACTCATATGGTTCCTCAAGGCCTTTGCAGTCATTATGCTTATGTAGTACTTGAAAACATCATAATTAACCACTTCCAAAATTGGTGGCATCTTTTGAGTATTCAAAAGTGTTTATAAAGTATTGTGCTGAATTTAATTCTTCTTTAATAACTTTTTCTTTTTAACCAATAACTAATCTTTCTACTGCAAGTGAACAGATATAAAGAACATAGGAACAGAATAAGAAAAGTCAATACAAGAGTTTTCTTTTTGTGTGTGTGTGTGTGTGTTTGAGATTGGGTCTCATTCTGTTGCCTGGGCTAGGATACAGAGGCATCATCATAGCTCGCTGCAACCTCCAACTCCTGGGCTCAAGTGGTCTTCTGTCTCAGCCTCCCGAGTAGCTGGAACTACAGGTGTGCACTATCACGCCTGGCTAATTTTTCTAGTTTTTCTGTTGAGACTGGGTCTCGTTCTTGCTCAGGCTGATCTCGAACTCCTGACCTCAAGCAATCCTCCTGCCTCGGCCTCTTAAAATGCTAGGATTACAGGCATGAGCCACCGTGCTTGGCCTGAGAGTTTTCTGTAGCCCTGTAGTTACTTTGAAATTACAGAGATTATGGAGTTGATCTGCCAGTTCTCTCTTCTGAGATACTGGAACAAGGAATTGGATGGAACATGGAGGACTTGTTTTACCATGGCAATTTTGTTTTCTTAAATTTATTTCCTAAGAAAGAAGCAAGTATGCTAGAGAGAAGTGTTGAAAATAACATCAATACTGTGACAGATATTTATATAAAGCCGCGAGTATCAGTTTTGACATCCTCTACAGGTGTTTGCCGTGGGCCTCTAAGAGAAGGTGCTTAGAAGTCGTGGGGTGACACAACTCCTGCCTACTTTGCACGCTCTGTGGAGATGACAAGTGAGAGACAGCTGAGATATTAGGCCCTGGAAAGAGTGTTCTCAGTTTAGAAAATGGCTCATGAAAAGTGTGATCATGCCCTTGAGCAGTGTGAGTGGAAAGAAGATGAAGAAAAGGATGTTTGAGGGAAAGGAGGAGCGTTGCAAGTCATTGGTGTATTGTAGGTGAATGCAAAACAAAGGCACCAAACTTCATTTTTGTTAAACTTAAGTTTTTCAAGGAAATATTATCTTCTTTGTACAGTACACTTTGAAAACCATTATTTTCTTATTAGTAAGATCAATCATAAGCTAATTGAATGAAATTCACATATTGTAATACAAAGAAAGACAGGAGCAAAAATCACCTATAATCAAAGAATAGCCTGTGGTCATTTTTTCCAGGCCTGTATGGATGTGCACAGGCACAAGCATGTATTTAAAAAATAATTATGTTGTATCTAGTGTTTCATGATCATCTTTAAAAAACTTTAACATTTTCCTTTACCTATAAGTGTTTTTGTATAGCACATTAGAGATACGCACAGTATTTCATTCTTACTTTATTTTTTATTGGCTCATTTCTCAATTCATTTCCATTTAAATTATTACCAATTTTATATAATACTATGATGAATATACTTGTCACTGAATCATAGCATGCATTCATAGTTATTTGCTGAGGATAAATTCTTAGCCCTAAAATTATTTGGTCAAATGATGTATCTGTTTTAAAGTCTTACATATTATGAAATTGTCCTTCAGGAACGTTGTACTCAACCATCCGCGAATGCGAATTTCTCGTTGCTAGTTTTAATCACATCTTTGAGAACAGTACACAAACATCATATTTTGGTTATTTAATTAGGATATTTTCCAAAAATTTATAAGTCATCTGTAGCTCTTTTTAAAAATTTGCTTTTTCCTGTAATTCTATTTTTATGTCACCAAATTGATCTTTTAATTTAGAGCTCTTTATCTGTTCTGCTTATTAATACTTAGTGTGTTGTATGTGATTACAAAAGAATTTTTTTTGCCACTGTAGTTTCTTTTCTGTTTTTAGTTTTTTTTTCTGTTTTTTTTTTTTTTTAAACTACTATTAGTATGTGTTTTTTAAAAAACAAAATCCATTTTTTCTTCATTATTTCTGCCTTTAGTGCTTAGAAAGGCCAACTTTACTCCAAGGTTATATCATTATTTATTTATGTTTTTTTCTAGCTCCTTTATTGTTTTATCTTCTTACCTTTAATGCTTTAATCCTTCTGGAATTTATTTTGGTGTATTCCATGAGGAAGGGTTTTAACCTTTCCAAATAATTAACCAGTTATCTCAGCACAATTTATTGAGTAAATAATCTTGTCGCCACTGATTTGACATGCCAAATTCATATTGTTTTCTATTTCAAAATATTAAGGGGGTACAAACGTTTTTGTTACGTGGGTACTTTTTATGATGCTTAAGTCGGGGCTTTTAGTGTCCCCATCACCTGAATAGTGTTCATTGTACCTGATGTTTTCACTTCTCCCTTTCCCCTCCCCTCCCCCTTTCTTGATTTCCAGTGACCTTTTACATCTCTTTGTGCCCATGTGTGCCCATTGATTAGCTCCCCATTATTAGAGAGTACATGTGGTGTTTATTTGTGCATTCCTGAGATACTTCACTTAGGATAATGGTCTCCAGTTTCATCTAAGTTGCTGCAAAAGACCTTATTTCATTCCTTTATATGGCTGAGTAGTACTTCACGGTGTATATATACCACATTTTCTTAATCCACTCACCAGATTCATGTGTTCTTATTTGCCTGTTGCTTTTCCTTGTTTTCTGCTCCACTTATTGTACCCTTTAAAATGTACCAGTTCTTCACCTGTTTATGTTTTATAATGTATTTTAACTGTAGCTAATGGGTTCCTTGTCTTTATGCTTCTTTTTTGGTATATACTCATATAAGAACTTTAGAATTATTATTCTCAAATTCTTAAAAGAAATTCTGTTGGAAATTTTGATTTGAATTGCCTTAAAGTTATAGATTTGTTTGGCAAAGAATTGACATCTTTGTTATATTAAGTCTTTTAGTAACATGTTGTGTCATATTTTCCTCCAAATTCTTTCACATCTCTACATCAGATTTTGATTCTTTTCTTCACAAACATTATATATATGCAAAGAAATTTTGTCCAACATACTTATTTTATTTTTATTGCTGTGCAAAAGTATGCTTTTCTCTTTTTCCTAAATGCTTATAGTTTGTACATAGGTGGTATTGATTTTTGTATGTTTGATTTTTAATCAGACATCTTTGTGTATTCATAAATTCAATTGTTTTTTTCAGTCGAGTCTCATCATTTTTTAGGTAAAGGCTGAAAATAATGATAAGTTTGTCTCTTTTGGAACAATACTCTCTTAAATTTCCATTTAATCTTATTTCAGATCTGAAATAATGAAGGTGATATACACAAATTACAAATTCACAGCACATTCTCTTCATTAGAGTAAATCAAATGAAACATCAGTATGTAACGTAATCACCATCTTTTCAACATTGTGTTTTTAGATTTAAGGCATATGCATATTTCACAACATTTTAATGTAGTTGCACTTAAAGATGATGTAAATCTATTTTCAATGCAAAGCTTAAATTGCATTTTTCTCCCTGAACTTAAATAGTATTTTGATTCATAGCTTAAATATCATTATTTTTAAGGCATTACTTTTCTTTATTATAACATCTATTAACACAGTGTGTATACTATTTAAATTTAATTACTTATAGTTAATTATTTCTTATATTTCTTAAAGACTAGTCAATTAGTACATAACCACTGAAGGAGTGCAAAGAGTCTTAACTACAGGGAGCATGGCTGTGGGTATCCTTTATTTTTTTTCCGCCTGTTGGAGAAGAACTTTAGAAAGAAATATTTTAGTGCCTTCATAAATATACCAGTAATTGACATGGCCAAGTGAATATTTAAACCTTGACTCACTTGTGAATTTGCAATTTTATGCTTTCTAAAATGTGATTTAATGATGTTTAAATATAAACTTGAGCTCCTTGAAATGACTGGTTTCAATGTTGATTTGAAAAGGTGCAACAGTTTTAAAAAGGTTCAACAGCAGTAGTAGCAGTAGGGTAGATACCTGTATGTTGCTTTTTGATTGAAAGACCTTTGTAGTTTTAATTTTGGAACCTTGTACTGTCTATAAATCTGTGACTATATTCTTTGGCTGATCAAACTTACGAATGTGTGAATCCAGTTATCATCATACCATCCAGAGTATTATCTTTGCATATTACAGGTATAAGACCAAAGCTTAGACTTGGTAGTTCTTTCATGATTTACTTAAGATGAAATGGTTTTGTAGTGTTTATACAACAGATTATATGTTAAGTCACCTAGTTCTAGGATGTAATCCTTGCAAGTATATGCAGTCCATATCAATAGATTCATGTGATAATCTAGGAGATAAATTTATTAGGAATTTCTTAGAATTCTGAGGTCCGGGATCCTTCTGCTTTGCCAGCTTGTATTAATAGTTACTGAAAATGAAACTGATTCTTTACATCTAGAGTTACGATGAAGATAATTGGTGTTTGTGTTTGTATTTAATAAATAGAATTTATGGTTAAAATAAATGAAATAATTGCTTTTCCACACCTGAGTTTGTTACCTTCATTATATTAGCTTAATTAAACATTCCAATTTTAATTAAGACCTTAAGAACTTTCACCATGTTAGTAAGTTTGGGAGTTTTGTGAACCTTTGCCATATTGTAAATCATCTAGGGAGCCATGGACTACTGTGTGTATGTGGAAGAAAAGTTTATAAAAATTTAAGGTTGTATAAACTTTTACAATGCTATGAAAGATCAAGTGAGTTTTGGTATTTTTATTTTCTAGAATGTTCTGAAGGATCTGGAAAAGAGAAAAGCTGATTTAAATACCATCACGGAGAGTAGTGCTGCCCTGCAGAACTTGATTGAGGGCAGCGAGCCTATCTTAGAGGAGAGGCTCTGTGTCCTTAACGCTGGGTGGAGCCGCGTTCGCACGTGGACTGAGGATTGGTGCAATACCTTGATGGTACGTTTCCAGAAAAATTGGGTGATGAAAAATCTCCTCTTCTCTAATTATTATAAAATGAATATAGCTTTGATTAAATTTCAAATCCCATTTTCTATACGTCACAGTCATGTTTTGCTTTTGAATTTGTTTCATTAGACTACATTTTATTTTTTCTTTGAAAAGGCAATAACTAGGAAGAGTTTACAATGTTTCTATTAAAGAATAAAATATTCATGATATCCATAGAAATATGTACTTTAATATTTTAGTAAATGGACCTTATTTGTTTCATGTTAATGATTTCATGTTGTATTTAATTTTCATACTAAATTTTCATGAGCTATTTTTATATATAACCTTTATAATGTTTAAGAGTGATGTACTAGTTAAGAGCACAGTTTCTAGCATCTGATGGCCTGTGTAAAAAGTTTGACTACTGGTTGGGTGACGTTGGTCAAGTTACTTAAACGCTTTCTAAGCCTGAGTTTTCTTGTCTGTAAAATGGGCATTATTAATAATTTTGACCTCATGCAGTTTTTGTGATGATTTTGTGACTGAAAATATATAGTGCTCTTAAATAGCTATATGTAAAACAATTTTAGATATTATTATGATTACAATAATCATTAAATACTGTGTGTATGTTAGTCTTTGGTTATACCACCACTCTGTTAATTATCTCATGAAAATATTGTCCATTTAATTTTTATGGTGGTTTTCTGTCCTTCTTATACTAACGATAAATACATGGCAACCCCACCCTCCCTTACCGTGGAGGGAATTGTCATTTATAATTTTTTTTTATTCTGATATACCTAAGATAGTACTTTTATCAAATTCATAGAATTACTAGGTAATGGATAGACAGAAAAAATAAATTATGGTGTATTTGAGCATTTGTTCAAATCAATCAGGATGTGTAGGGCAGTGAAGATCATGGGCTTAGGTCTTGATCTGTCATAGATTTCTAAGCACTGTCCATGACTTACTATCTGTATAACCTTAGCTAAATTACTCAGCAGTACTAGGCTTCAATAGCCATATATAAAAAATGGGAATAAAAGTATATATCTAACAGAGCTAAATTTTGAATATAATAATGAATATGAGATTTTTGGCTTACAGAATGAGTTGTTAAATATTTTATATATTCATTTTTGCTATTACTAGGTTTATTTTACATTCTCATGACCCTTACTTTTGTATTCTTCAGTCTACCTTTCCAATTCTCCTTTCAAGCAATATCTTTTTCGTCCTATTAGAGCATAGGATTTACCTGCTTGAGAGGGTAAATAAGTCTAGTGTGTGTCAGTTCTTCCTACTTAGAATCCAGATCACTGTTGAAATTATTTTCATATCATTTATTAGTTCACATTTTCTTTTTTCAACTACTTGTCCGTATTATAGATTAATAATGTCCTTCTTAAAACTTCTTTCTTCTAAGTTTTTTCTAGTTTCCTTTATCTTATAAAATATAGTTCCTGAATATTAATTTCATCATAAGCTCCCCTACCCTTTTGGGTCAACTTCTGACTTCTTGATTTAGTCTCAGCAACTTTTCCCAGTTCATAATCTGCTTAACTGTTGCTGCTGTTTTCAAATTTATTCTGTTGAGCACATTTTACGTCCTGCTTTAGGAACTCTTACTAAAAGTCTGTGCCAGGTGTAATATATTTTTTTTTCTTTTTTTTTTTTTTTTTTATTTCAGCAAATGATGGGTGTACATACGTTTAGGTTTCGGGTGTTGCCCTTGATCCACCCCCCAAGTCCGTGTTTCAAATATGTCCATCCTTCGGGTAGTGCGCATTGCACTCCTTGTGTATACAAATACCCGTCCCCTCCACCCTCCTCCCCCCTCCTCCCGCCGCCCTTCCCGTGGTACAGATGATTAGGTTAGGTGTGTTGCCCTTGGTGTAATATTAAGTGCTGGGGATACTGACATGAAGAGATACAGACTTTGTCCTTTAAGCAGAGCATACAGATTCTTATTCAATCCATACTTTGATTTTTTAAATATTATTACTTCCTTAAAGTACAAGTGAAGGGGACAATTGAAATCAGTTGTTATGTAAGAATGAAAAATAAGGGATAAATTTGAAATGAAACTGAAAAGGAAACTTTCTCTTTTTATTCTACTTTCAGCTTTTTATTGTGCTTAGGTCTAAATCAAATAAATTTAAAAAGTACTTAATCATAGCTGTGCATTTTTAGGAATGAGATTTATTCACTAAAGAAGAGCTCTGCAGAAAGGTGGAATCCTTTCTTTAAATTTAGCAATTTGCTCTTTGAAGGTCTTTTAAATCTCTTCTAAGATTATCGTCTTAAATATTTCATGTGATTATGTGAACATTTTATCAATTCCTTTGTAGAACCATCGGAACCAGTTGGAAATATTTGATGGAAATGTGGCTCACATAAGTACCTGGCTTTATCAAGCTGAAGCTCTACTGGATGAAATTGAAAAAAAACCAGCAAGTAAACGGGAAGAAATTGTGAAGGTAGCAAACATGGAGGATACTAACGCTTTTGAGAGGGGAATGTTGTCGTGTTTTCTCTTGTGGAATGCTCTCGGTTTACTTAGGCACATGTTCTTCCCATGCAGTGGATTCATTAACATTTATTTTGGTAGGACAAAACTGAGATAGCCAAAGAGTTTTTTGTGAATATCTCTTTCTTCTGATTGATTGTGCTGAAATCTCTTGCTAGAAATCCCACATATTTGTTTAAACTAATTCTGAGTAAGCACACACCCATGTTTGGTTTCAATTTTTCCCATGAGATAATTTTGTGTTTTCTTACAATTAGCGTTTAATATCTGAGCTGGATGATGCCAACCTCCAGGTGGAAAACGTCCGTGATCAAGCCATTATTTTGATGACTGCACGTGGAAGCTCGAGCAGGGAGCTTGTAGAACCAAAATTAGCTGAACTGAATAGGAACTTTGACAAGGTGTCTCAACATATCAAAAGTGCCAAAGTGAGTAATTATATTTTTATAGAAAACCATTTTTCCTAAGAGTATGAATCTAAATGATAGATATTATATAGTAGATGCATCAAAGAATTTTTAAATTAAGATGATTTTAATCACCATTTCTTTGAATGAAGCATTTGTCCTTATTTATTTGTGATTTATTTGTGATTGTGCATATGAAGGAGAGAAAACAAGAAATTAGTATTGAAGAAAATAACACATTTGAGAAAAGGTTTTAAAGACTCAGTTGAAGGTTAGAATTGGTTATGAAATAATGAGACTAATTGCAAAGCTAGGCATGAATATTAAACCCATTATTTTATAGTCATACTTTATATATGTGTTCACACTACACACACTGTGAACTTGTTTTTTTGTGTTTTACATGTTGACAAATCTAAAAGTTACAGATAATTTGACATTTCAGATGTAATGTAGAAAGGTACATTACATTACTACCTGATTTTATAAATTTAAAAAGGAGCTTTATAAATTTAATTAAGAGGATAATAAATAAGAGCTTTCCTTTAAATAGTGTTTTTTATATTACCATGGTATAATTTTTCTCTCTGTCTGTGTATATCCTTCTCATTCTCTCTTTTTACCCTTGTTTTATGAGATGAGGAAAGGAAAATTCTTATTGTAGTGGTCTTAAGATCTGGGATGTAGTGGGTGCTCAGTAAATGTTAAGTTGAAAAGATGAAAACATTTTGATGGTTCTATGGATAAAAAACCATAGCTGACTTAGGGGTCATTCAAACCAGGTATTCATTCTGACATACGATTCTGAGTTTTCAAGGGATCAGTCTTGCCTGTAGGATGGCATTTTTTGAGTGCTCAGTTAATTCAGTCTCTAGAGAGTTGTGTGTTGAAACTTTCAAAGAGGAAGGATCCCCTTTTTTGCGGGAAGTAAATATTATTTAAACTGCTTTGATTTGAAATATCTGATATAGTAGACCAAGTTAACTTTCATATAACCTATGAATATACTTAGGTAATTCTCAACTTCAAGAAAACAAACAATAATCTTGCTTTAGCTTTTGCCTGTCTTAACCATGACCTTACCTCCTAGCCTTCTGACCTCAGCTTATTTTATTCTTTTCCGTAGTTCTATGGGAGGTTTTTCTGGGTATAAAAAAAATGCACAAAATTTAGACATATGGTGTGAGGAATTACAAGAAACAATTACCATCATCCCCATCAATAACCTCAGTAAACATTTTGGAATACATGTCTATTCTTATTCATATGTACATGATATTAAAAATCAACATTTTTATATTATTTTGTGTCTTCTTCTTTCACATGATTTTTAATGGTTGTAGAATATTCCAGTATATGGTCTGTTACAATTTCCTATGTTATTTTTTTTACTTTATTGTGCCTTTATAAATATTATATTTGTTAAAAATCCTTTTATGCATATATTTTTGATCATCTCTTAATATGCCCTTAAATTCAATTTTTAGAATTCCTTGAAATCATTGGAAAAGTTGTATACATATAAATACTGTTAAATAGATTTTCCAAATAGCCCAATAGGAAGTTTGTGCCAACTTACACTTCCATAATCAGGGTGTGAGAATACTAGTTTTTCCACACTTAGCCAACATGGGTGTTATTTTTCTGCCTTTAGTTTTATTATAATTGTCATATTTTTAGTTACACAAATGTGATGTTTTTCTATATAGACATTATGTGACAATATGGTATTGAGAAATAGGTACGTCTTTGAAATTTTGAGTATCAAAATCCAAGGGGAATGCTACTGGGAAACTTAAAAGGAGAGATATCCTGCGGGGTGGCCCTGCACTGGGGGCTGGGTGGCCGCTCTTCCTTTTTGTGGCTGTGTCCTTTCCGTGGCCATGGCAGGAATGGCTTCTGCATTAAGGCCGTATTTTCCACTATATATGTGGTCTCTGAATCCACCACACGGCACTCCAGGCAGCCACGGTCATTTGCATGCCCCTTTATATCCCTGGCCAGAGTTTGGAGAAAACGGGCAATTCAGAGAAGCCCAGATTGGTAAAATCACTGCTGTGTGGAAGAAGGAAACTAAAGTCAGTTCGAATAAATGCTGGTTCCTCTCTTGACACCCCATCTCTCTGGTCAATGATGGAAATATATTTTCAGAGAACTCTTTTCCTTCTACAGTTGCTAATTGATCAGGAACCATTATCCTACCAACGTTTGGTCACCACTGAAACATTTGAAGCTGATATGCCTTTCTCTGAGTTGGAAAAATTAGAAAATGACATAGAAAATATGTTAAAAGTTGTGGAAAAACACTTAGAATCCAGCGATGAAGATGAAAAGGTTGGTTCAAAGAGACTGTCAAAACCATGGTGTTCTCATTTTTCTTCTCTGTTAATTATATTTTTACATCAATAACATTTACCCGTAATAATCTGCCAAACATAATGAAAGAGATCCAAATGTGACTTTCTGATGTGTATCAGTGTAAGATTTGCCAAGTGATTTATGTAATAATTAAGAAAAAATAGACACGCTTTCTGACTGAAGGTAATCTTCAGTATTATCTAACTTCTGTTAAATTTGCGTTGAGATATTTTAACTTCAAATCTAAAGTATTTTAAGAAAAACAAATTTTTTGGTCATTCAGAACTTTGTAGGTTAGTTCTCCTTCTTGGGAACTGATAGTGACACCACATTTTTCTTTTGAGTAAATTTTTTCCCATTTAAACATTCAGGTGGATGAGGAGAGAGCCCAGATTGAGGAAGTTCTACAAAGAGGAGAACAAATGTTACATCAGCCTATGGAGGATAACAAAAAAGAAAAGATCCGTTTGCAGTTATTACTTTTGCATACAAGATACAACAAAATTAAGGTATTATAATGGGAGAGTCTCTGTTGTATTTAAATAACTTACTCGGCCCTTGCCTTTCTAATGTGTGTTGTTGCGTCAGGGACAGTTTAAAACAAACCAGTTGGAATATTATCTCCTCCTTTCTAGTATGTATTACTAGATATGTTTATTATTTTGGATGGAGCAGGACTCAAAGAAAATAGAAACATAAAACCTTATTGACTCTTTTAGATTTCTGCTTATAGGTTAAGCCTAAAAGAGATCTATCCCTTTCAGAAGTAACTTCCTCCTTCAATTCTGTATTTTATATGTAGAGGTTTTTGCCACGTCAAAAATATTTCTAGTTTACAAATAAATAAATAAGTGGAACTCGTACACTATGTTAAACTTTTTCTAGAAAAAGTCACACTACCAGCTGCCTTTTAAATGGCAATCTTTTCAGCTGTATTTTAAGTATGCTGGTGTTCACCAGGGGTCTGTTCTTTGGTAATTCCTTCTAGAGCCAGTTTTATTTGGTGATTTTAGAAACTGAGTAGATTCTATTCTCTTGGCTTGCTACCTATTGGATGTCTCTATGTACTTCAGCCTTGTGATATGTTCTAACCTGAACTTGCTGTCTCCCTCCCTCTCCAACCTGTGTCTCTTACTTCATTCCCTCTCTTAGTTAATTACAGTCATGAGCTGCATAAGGACATTTGGGTCAACAGCAGACTGCATATACAGTGGTTTTCCCATGAGATTATAATACCATATTTTTACTGTATTTCTTCTATGTTTAGATATGTTTAGATACACAAATACTTACCACTGTGTTACAGTTGCCTACAGTATTCAGTTCAGTAATGTGCTGTACAGATTTGTAGCCTAGGAGCAAAAGGCCATACCATTTAGCCGAGGTGTGTGGGAAGCTATTCCATCTAGATTTGTGTAAGCATATTCCATGATGTTCCCACAACAAAATTGCAAAAAGACAAAGTTCTCAGAACGTGTCTCATTGTTAAGTGATGCATACTGTACTTTAAAAGATAGCCATTCATTCTCTCAAGGTAGAAACCTCAACATCATCCTCAACTACTTCTTGTTCCTCACCTCTCTTGTTCCTCATCCCACATCGAGTAGGGATTAAAAGCATTGGTCTGAGTGAAGCAAGGTACAGGTCTGACCTGAGGTTATATATAGCTCTACCAGTTGCTTGTTTTATGTCCGTGGGAAAGTGACCTAACTTCTCTTAGTTCACTATCCTTTCTTTAATTCAAACTTACGGTTTTCTGTCATGAGTTATTACAAATATGTTCCAAAGTGGTTTTCAAATGTCCAGTTTTTCTTACTCTACCATCTTTCTCTGAATTATTCCCCCAGAGGTCATGGCTCATCATGTCATTCCTTCACCTAAAAATATTGCAAAAAACAGAAAGAGCTTGAAGTGCAAGGTTTGTCAATATAAGGACATACCAAGGGTTCGTTCTGACCCCCGCCACCTCCTCTTTGATTTGTTGTCACCGCCCGTGTAGCATAGCTACGCTGAGTTTCTGTACATTTCCCTAAACACATCACATGCCCTGACACCTCTGGGATCTTGCTGATTTTATCCCCATACCCTGGAGCGGGATTTATCTTTTTATTTCACCTGAAAAATACACCATCTTTTAAGACTCAGCTCCATTTTTATTTCTAATATCTATCAGATCACGTTATAGATTTTGCTTTATTCTTACTTTTTAAAGTCTCTTTTTGCCCTAGTACTTTTTCCAGGATTCAGTCCATATCTTACTCATCTTTGGGTCCCAAATCAGA